AATCGGGACAAGTTCACCGCGCTACTCCTCCCCAGCCGTCGCCGCCATGTCACCACTAGAGAGATTCTTCTTCGGTTGGAGAGGAAAGGAGAGAGGTTGAATCGGGTCAACCCTCCCGCATTCTTGTTCACTCTGAGCTTGAATTTCACAAGCCATTCTTTTTCGGTTACTAGTTAACCGAAAACCGACGGTTTTTACTTCGGTGACGGTGGGAAAAAGGTAGTTTTCGGCTAGCCGAGTAGCCGAGGATAATTAACCGCGGTTACCCGACTAACCAAAAATAACAGGCCTGCTACCCAAAGTCCAGCCCAAAGCCCAGCCATCCTCCTCCTTCAAAACCCAGCCCAGCCAGCCATCCAAACCCTACCCTTAGGTTTCTTTCTTCTTCTTCCATCGCCATCTCCCATTGCCTTCCTCGCCTTCCTCCGTCGAGCTGCAGACAGAGCAGAGATAGTCAAGCGGCGACTCATGCCCCCACCCCCGTGACCCCCGCCCCTTGCAGATCTATCCATCCATCTGCCTCTCCATTTTCGCCTCTCCTGCGCCGGGGACGTCGCCGCTCCCTCCGCTCGCCTCCCGACACTACCCCGACGTCTGCCTGTGCAGATGTGGTGGGTTTGAAATGGGGAAGGAAGGAGAGAGAAGGAAGAAGGGGTCTGGTGAGATTTTTGGGAGGAAGGAAGAAGGGGTCTGGGGGGATTTTTTGGGAGGAAAGAAGGAGAGAGAAGGAAGACTCGTGGGATTTTTGGGTGGGAGGAAAGAAGGAGAGAGAAGGAAGACCCGTGGGATTTTTGGGTGGGAGGAAGGAAGGAGAGAGAAGGAGATAAGGATTCAGTGGTGAGGGATTTTTTGTTTTTTTATTATAATAATTTTTAATGAATTTTGTAGAGAGAAGAGAGTGTTCTTTTTCTTATGCGGCTAACCGAACCAAAATCGATAACCGATCGGTCGGTGGTCGGCTAGCCGTGGTGTCCTTCACGGTCGGTGGTCGGTAGCAGGCAGTGGTGGCTCGGTTTCACTGATAACCGAGAAATCAGTTTTCGGTTAAACCGAAACCGACCGACTGGCACCCCTAGTCTCACCCTCTCAGTCATGTGTTTCTGCATCCAAGAGTATGAGATTTCCTGCAAAGTGGTTCCATGAAATGCCGACTCATGGAGAAAAGGGTAAACAAAGCGGAAACAGGGGCGGAGGGGAGTGGGCAGTAGTGGCGGAGGGGGAGGCGATGGTAGATGTGGAGGCGGAGTATCAACATTTTTTATTTTTATTATATATTTTTCTTTACTCCACCTGGATTCGTACTAAGAAAATGTGTCAGGTCAACGTTTCCCATCAGTGTAGACTCTAGTTAGATCGTTAAGTGACACCGTTAAAGAGATGGACGAAAATGATTATTTTGTGTATTTCGAAAATTGTGGCTATATTTGTCACAAACGTGAAAGTTGTGGCTATACAAGTGTATTTTGCCATATTAGTAACTTAAACTATATAAAGACAACCCCTGGACCATCGAGAAAGTCTCTAAAAATCTGGTGGTTTTGTTCAACCCCTGTTTATTCCCAAATCCTAGCCGTCACACCACGATTGGGATGGATCTGGCTGTGACATAAAGAGCGGAAGAGGACGGTGTCGGCGAGAGGAGGCGGCGCTTCCAAGTGAACATGGCTATCTCTCTCTACCGACAAAGCTCGATCGAACCCAAATCTCTGCCCGCCCTCCGCTCCAACTTCATCCCATCAGATCGTCGATTTTGCCCCAACAATCATCGCCCGAGCCTTGCCCTCTGCTACTGCTCGACGACGGCGCGACAGTGGGGAGCAATTGCTCTCCCTGCTGATGTATTGTCTATCGCCGGCCGTGTTAGGGATTCTTGAGCAACCCGGAAGTAGCCTATATATTTTTGGGGGATTGGGGATAGAGCCCAATCAACCAACTCCAGGGGATGACGGAATTGAAGAGAGAAAGAAGACGATAAAGATGAGAGGAGAAGAAAAGAAATGGTTTTGTTTGTAGGTAATCTTGTATTGTTGTTAGTTGATGGGAGATGAGGAAATCGGAGAGAACAATACAACAACGGCGGCGATTTCGAAGATGGGAAGGAGAAACAGTGGTGGTGAAGAATGAGATTATTGTTTTTGTATATTTTTTTAATTTAATTTAATTAAAATTAAAGGAAAAATTTTAATGACTTTCCACCTGTCATTATTTTTGAATAAAATATGCCACGTCAATCGTTGCTGTTAGTCTAGTCACTCTGTTAGATAACACCGTTAAAGTATTGGACGGAAGTGGCTATAAGTAGTATTTCTCCAAATTTGGCTATTATTGGCATAAACGTGAAAGTTTTGGCTATACAAGTGTATTTTGCCTGAAGACAATGATACTTGCAGAAAACTTCTCTACATTTTAACGGGCAAAATTACCCTTCTATTTGCTAAAACCCCTAAATCAAACACACAACCATAAACTTCAGCCTGGCAACTTACTGCATATTCTATTGCCAAAAATAATCAAAAATCGAAGTCATTGATGTCCATACCCTAGTTGTGTCACTGAGCCAATAGTCCACCAAACCGTCCCAGTTCTTTTGGCTTATTCCAGGAGGCTTCATTGTTCTAGCTTCCACTACATCCCTACACTCAAGGAATATCTTTTTTCAGCTTGGAACGTTGATGCTTGACTTGGATTTGCAATAACCCATCGATGGAATCTTGGACAGCTTCTTCACTGATATCTTCAACTTTCAGATGCATCTATCACTAGTAATTTATTAATCAACAATGTGTTCATGGTAAAAGAAATCAATCATAAACAAATTTACCAGCTCCTAATAATAAAATGCAATCACTATAAACAAATTAATTAGTATGTCATAAGCTGAACGCAAATGGTTCTTCTTAAAATCCTTAGTCCAGCGGATATGGATCTCATCCATGTATTCTCGACTCATCAAACCAAGCTCACTTGAAATTTTGGCAGATTGGACACATTAACTGGCCAACCTTGTGAGACATCAATTGTAATTGGAAAATTTTCCTTCCCCATAGCAGCAACCAGTTTCACTATTTCCAAGCCTCTTGTTGTACCTCTCACCTTCTTCTTCTTTGGATTTTGATATAGACATTTAAACAAAACCACTTGGAAATTTTAATTACATGTATACATAGGAATAGTAAGGCAATGAAATGGATATTTAATCGCAAAATTCACTTGTAAGACCAATTTCAGAGGCAGAAAGTGCTTCGTCCAAATGCTGCTCAAATTCATAATCTCCTAGAGGTCAATCAGTGAGTAGAACCTCCACTGTTGGAGTCACATTCAATTCGGCAGCTTGAGGTTGAGAGTTAACAATTAACAAGCAAACAACTGTTAGAACCATTCTTCTCTAAAAGAGCTTCTGCTATCGATTTGGAAGATAAAACAAACAACAAAACCAAGTTCAATCTTACCGTCACAAAATCTCTTTTAAATAATATCTTTCCTAGAATTATGTTCTGTCTTGTTTCTCTTGTACTGCCTGGAATATGAATTAGCATACTCACATACATGTTTGTGTCCAGCTCTGGGCGTTAGACTTCGACTAGGATACTAAATCGTACATTTCCCTCGTGGTCCCATATCAGAAATCTGTTACAGAAAATTATTAAAATTGGTAACCTCAGTTGACCACAACCATGAGTTCAGAATACTATCCTCCCTGATCATACAAAACAAGTCTGCACATCATTCAAGTCTGCACATCATTCATAGTTTAGAACAACTGTAAACAAGAATCAAATTTAATTGAACATCTACCCAGGGATACCTAATCCACTCATCCCTCACGACCATTATGCAGAACACTTAATTGAGGTGCACCAAGCTACCACAAAATCATCTATTCACTTCATTGAGGAACCAAAGTGAGAGCATCCCTATCCTATCCATACCAAAGATCCTGGAACCCACAGACAGCAGCAAAATGCCTCTACAAAATCTCAACCTACTACCTGCAGCTCTCTCATCATTTTATATTCACAACACATACATGAATTTTAGCAGACCCACAAAATCATCTAATCACTCTAATTATAAATGGCAATCAAATTGGTGCCTATGTTAAATGATGAAACGACCATTGACAACTAATTGAACAACCTCGATCTCTAGCGGTGGTGGAGGCCATGAGGTCAATGTCGGAGATATGATTTCATATTTATCCCTAATGGGAAGCCAATTATAGAGGATACATACATACGCAGACGACTATATCAATAATGACTCGCCGTATCTGAAGTATAATCAACCAAAAGGAGATGCGATTCAAGCCGCTAGTCGGAAACAGAGATCTGAATTCCAATTAGAAGTATTGAGAGAGGAATTAGAGTCTTCGCTCAGATTAGGCCAAGTTTTGAAAATCAAAAGGAGATACGATTCACCACTAGATTTGAATTTCAACTATGATACAAATCGAAGAGGAAATGGAGGTTTTGGAATGATGGCGTTACTAACCTGCAGGCGATGTCCTCCTTGAGAGATTACGTTGGCGTTACTCACCTCAGATTTGAGGGCTCGTTTGGAAGTTATGATTCTAGATGAATGATTCTTTGAATTCATGTATTCAATACATGCATTAGAGGTGGGCCCTCAAATCTCATATCACTCACAATCACTCATTTTAAATTTCAACAAAAAAGTGAGATTCTTCCTTTGAGATTGTGAACTTTAATTATTTGTTCCACTTTTAGCTCATAAAGTTATTTTTTGTTTTCTTTAAAATTTTGGAATGACTACAACCAAACAAGACATTCTTCCAATCATCTAATTCTTCCAATCTTTGTATTTACAATAGATCATCAAATACACATATTTGAAGAATCGCAACTTCCAAACGTCCCCTGAATCTCCAAACTCTTCCAGGCGATGTCCATACTGTTAGTCGTCCAGAGAACGAAAAAAGGGATGGTTTGAAGGCGATGGGTTTCCCAAACAGAGCGAATTTAAAGCATCTATCTATCTATCTATCTATCTATCTCTACTCTAATTATAATACGCCGTAGCCTAAAACTGAAGCCCCATTTTGAATTTGCTGCCTCCGGAGCGTTTCTCGGAGGGGTATATTTGGCAAAAAAATCATTTCTCTTTCTATCCCCGGGGAGTAAATCCCGCCCTGAGCCCTGACTATTGAACGGGCCTCGGCCACTGCCAATCGCCCCAGTTCCAAGCCCAGCAACCACGGTGTTAACCAAATCATCCTCATCCCTCAACGCAACCAAGATGCTCTCGATCGCGCTAAACATCAGACCCAAAACTCCTATGGTGTTGCCCAACCGCCGACCACTGTGCCCGCCGGAGTTCAAAACCCTGTTCACCCGCACCTTCATGCTGTCGCTGGCCGCGGCCGCCTTGAACCCATCGGGCGTCCCCTTCGCGCCGTCGACGATCGCACCGCCGAGGCACCCCGCGCCGGTGTAGTAGGTGAGATTCTCGCTCCAGCTCCGCCGTTGGCGCGCGGCTTCTTCTTGGAAGAGGAATTCTGGCAACGTGGGGAGGTTGTAGAGGCTCTGCGAAGGGACGTTGTAGAAATTATGGTAATGGTGGTACTTACGGAACCTCTGATCGCCTGAATCGTCCATCATCCTGAAGACGAAGAAGAGATCAAAGGGTTTTCTTGGCTGTGGATATCACCAGTTCTCAAGGTCACTCTCTGCTTCCATCTTCCTTCTCGAATCTTTGTATCTTCAATTTGTGTATTCCGATCACTTTTGTTTTGATGAATTGCTAATTTTAGCTGCTTGCTAGGGTTCATAAACTCCTAGCTATTTTGACTCTCTTTGTCTCTTTGATGAATACATTTCTGATTCATTGCTCCGTTTATCTCTCTATCTCACTTTGTCGCGCTGCATTGTTGAAATCCTTGCTCGATCAGATCCACCCCCAGTAGTCCTGCTGTTACTGGTGTTGGGTTGTTCCGTTACTTCCATCTGTTTTTGTTCTCTCGCCGGAGACCCAATTGAAAGGAGAGCAAGGAAGAGGGTGTCGTGGTCGTTTCCCGAGTAAATTCAATTCCAGGGGTTTAAAATAGAATCCGTTCTTGGGGCTTGAGAGGGTTTTCTTTTGTTTATCACTTGAGTGGTGCTACCTGCTACTGCGTCTCAGCTAGGCCAGGGATCATTTTTCTAAGTTCATTTGGTTCTGTTCTGTATTTCATTACATCTTTCTTTTCCAAAACTCTGTTTAAGGGTGCAATTTGCTCATTTGAAGTAAATGTACGGCCCTGAAGTTGTCTGCTCTTTTTATGGGGATTTGGAAAAATGATTGTCTTTTGTTCTCTATGTTTCTCTAAGCCCAATTTTGCTGAGTCGACTGTTCTGTGGAGTTGAGCTTTGTGGGGTGGCCAAGCTTGGGAGTATTATAGCTAGAGATTCCATTTTAAGAATGCTACTGATTTTGTAACTTTTCATGAAAAGAGTTAGTCTTAAACGCATTAGGAAAGATGAACTAATTGCGTGTAATAAGAAATATATCAAGGTTCAATCATGACTCGCATATAAGATAATCACTGCAATGCTATATATTTTATGCGATGGAAGGTTTATGATGGAATGATTAAAAGGAATAGAGTATCTTGCTTCTATTTATGTCTACCCAACTGGACCCCTGCTATCTTTATACTTACCCCACCTTTCAAGTTTTCTTGGGTTGTTCTATACTTACATCCACCTTCCCTCCGCTATTCGTTGCTTTGTTGGCCAATGTAAATTTCTAAGCCTATATTTTGTGTTTGTAATTATTAACTAAATAGTCTTTAGTTTTAATTTTATTGGTGAAGTTAATAACTTTGAAAATGCCTTCATCAATATTTTATTACATTATGAATATTTTATTGCATTATTAATATTTACTTGTATAACGTCATTTGTAAATTTTTTGCTTTCGTTTGTAATTTTTCAAATTCCATTATCAATTTTTCGTCTTATTTTTTTAGGTATTCTTTGTTACATTTTTTATTATTAACTAAATACTATTAATTTTAATTGGTGACGTTAGTAACATTGCCAAATGCCATTATCAAAATTTATTATGTCATTATCAATTTGTTTATTGCATTATTAGTTTTTACTTGTGTGAAGTTATTTGTAATTTTTTTTGCAAGCATTTGTAACTTCGTCAAATGCCAATATCAATTTTTCGTTGTATGCTTCTTAGGTTTTCGTTTTTTATATTTTTTATTATTAACTGACCAATATTTACTTTTAATTTAATCGTTAGTTACATTACCAAATGCCATTGTCAATTTTTTTTATTATCAATGTTTTTGTTACCAATGCTCAATCAGTAATATTTTATTATAGGTTATTTTATGTGATTAGTTATTAACCTTTTAGTATAAACATTTTCAATATCAATTCACGGTTAACATTTATGTCATCAATTCTTAACTTTCATTTGTTATCTTATCAATGTTTTTAATAATCATTATTAACGTTTTGATTATTCATTTCATTGCCGTGGTTTTTTCCTCTCAAGATCACTTTGTTTCCTACTATGTTGATCTCAAGATTAAGTAATTCCAATTCATGAATAGCTTGTCTCAAATGTGGGATGGAACAACGTACAAAGAGTATGAAGAGGAACTGGTTAAGTACATCGTTGCTTTTTGTGACTGGGTAGTGAATTGTAGCTACAATTTTGAGGAGTTCACATGGGTGGAAGATCTAGAGTTGGAACCTTTCCTTTGGATTAAGAATTGACGTCTATTTCCCTTGGTTTTTATCGGATTAAGGATTGCCTTGTAATCTCTTTTAAGGTTTGGCTAAACACGGTCAGTGACACTATTTTGGTTGGCATTGTTAATTTGAAGGGAAATTATCATTTATTTCTGCTTCCGTAATCAATATTGTGGATGAAAATGCCTAGTTATTTAACGTGTTACTCTAGTAGCACTTGTGTTCGTGCTGTTTTTCATTTTCTTATATCTATTTGACTTTAATAATGGTTATACAAACAATGATATACTGACAAATAAAGATTACTAATTGATGACATAAACGTTAATAATTAATTGATATAATTGGTGTTGATAGTGACAATGTATATACTAAAAGGTTAATAACTTGTCACAAAAAAACTAATAACCTATAGTAAAACGTAACTGATTGGGCATTGGTAAAAAAAGCATTAGTTATGCGAATCATTGAGCAAAAAAGTTAATAATACTTGCAAAAACATTAATAAGGTGAAAATTACAAATTACAAATCGATTACAAATCAGTTATTAATAATGGTTGTACAATCGTTGATAGGTTACATATAAAATGTTAGCAATGGAAAAGGACGTTAATTTAAAAACGCATTGTGCAAATTGCGGATCTCTGATCCTTCCTTGTCGGAGCCGCCCAACCAAAGATGATTCCTCTCCGGCGCCTTTAGCAAATGAGTACCTATCAACAATCTTATATTACGTTATTAATAATATCATCAACGTTTTCAATAATATAATCAACATTATCATAAAGATCAATTTGTAAACATGCCTTATTAATTTTTCCAATCAACGTTATTGAAATCATGATCAACCAAATTAATATCACTATACTATCAAGTTCAGCACGTTGTCAGCGCATTATTAACTTTTCCCAATATTATCAAAAATTTTGACACAAACAATATTATTAACCTCGTTAACGTTTTAACATGTTCGAATAAATATTGTTATTAAAATCTTCTCAACCATTATCAACTTTTCTTCATCCCTTATCAACATTTGAACATTAAGACATTAATATCATTAACAAAAGAATGATACTCTATCCATAAAACCTTTCCACGAAAAACAAATCCAACACAATAAAAAACCATTCGAAAGGCTAGCCACGCGGCCCGCGTTGTCGTCGCGACGCCAACGAAGCAGAACACTGATGAAGGCTGCCAACGCTTATGAAAGGAAGTGGTCGTGCAACGACGATAAACGAGGCGTCACGGGAGAGATGAGGCGCGACGGTGGACGGTAACGCAACGACAGTTCAGAGACCATACGCCGGAAAGCAAGATCCCTGTCGGCTGCGCGGCACGATGATGATTTTTGGAGGATGAACGATTTTAGGGTTGGGAGGAGACTGATTCTCGAAATCCCAATTAATTCAATGTTTGTGTGGGTTTTTCGCCATTTTCATTTAAATTAATTGTATCATTAAGGGGTCGTTTGGATGGATCATTTGTGAATGTGGTATTTATAAAGTGAAACAACTCATTTATTGTTAATGTGGTATTTTTGTGGTATTTTTGTGAAAGATGAGATAAATAATCTTGTTTGGCTAAACCAATATTTGAATGTGGTATTTGATGGTAAAAATCAATATTGCCCTCTTCACCATCTTCTCTCCTTCATTCCCAGAAACATATCCCTACCCAATTGCATGCCCCCATTTTGTTCATCCATGGCTGCTGCAAAATTAAATCTCACAAGAGCAAAATATAAGACAAGTCTATGCATCACCCACCGCCACTGAATTGATTTCCTAATTGTTGTCAATTTCCCCCCAAAAGCCAACACCCACCGGAAACAATAATCAACTCGACATTTCCAAATACATGCAGAGGCAAAATTAGCAAGAAGAACAGGGGTGGAGGATAGCATAGAGGGAGAACAGTAGGGGACTGAAGAAATCCGGCGACAGTCGTCATGATTCATGGCCAGTCTTTAAATCCGAAAACTGATTCCTCTCTCCTATCTCGTTTCTTTGTCGTCGTCGTCTCTATCCATGTCGTCCTCGCCACCGTCAATGAAGCTCGCCACACTCCGAGAAACATAGAGAAACCTGCGAGAGAACCCAGTGTTGCCGTCGCCATCGCATCCTCGTCGCCGCCCCCTCGTCGCAGAAGAAGATCGTCTTTCGTCGCCGCCGATTAACTTTCTTTCCACTTTGTTCTTCGCAACCTAAGCTTATGCATACTCTATCTGATCCGCACGAAGAGGAGAATCCAAAAGTAGCAACGAAATCAATTTTGGCTCAATTGATTTTGGCTCCACAAAGGAGAATCAAAGGGTCGAAGAAAAAAGAAAGAAGAAGTGAGGAGAGAGTTGGACTGGAAGAAATAGAAAAAGCAGGGATAGAGTTGGGAAGAGAAAAGCGTTGAACGCGTTATTTCCAAATAACATCTCCCTATGTGGTATTTAGAATACCACATTTATGGGTTATTCTCAAATAACGCGGCCCACAATACCACATCAGCCAAATCAATTGCCAAACAAGTTATTTTAGCCCAAATAACTCAAAAAGAGTTACTTGTGCCAAAATAACTCATTCAAAACACTCATCCAAACGACCCCTAAATATTTTGTATATTCCTGTCTTACCCTTTAACGTATTAGGTAGGTAGTTACCCAATGATTAATACTCATTCTCTCTCTCCTTCTCCTATTGGTTAAATGGGGTTTAAGATCTTTCTTAAAAAAGAAGCCTTAAGGACCTGATCTAACCCGAAGAAACAATACGTTTGGCTCCCAACCAATCCTCCGTCCTCTCCGAGTTTGCTCCTGGGGTTCTCAGTGTACCACTGAAGGTGAATGATTTAATATGCAGTAGACTCGGGTTTGGAAACATGACCTTCTTGATGCATGCTTCACTCCTGATTGTTCATGCTATTTTGCAAATCCCCTTGTCTTTTCATCTGACCACTGATCGTCTCATCTGGCATTATTCTCCTTCTGGGGAGTACACTGTTAAATCTGGTTATCATTTGCTTAATAATGAAATGAATGCTCGTAATCCTCCTGGTGAGTTACCCTTTGTTAGCAGGTTTTGGAAGCTCTTGTGGAATCTTCCGGTTCCTCCTAAGTTGAAGTTCTTCTTTTGGAGATTGGTTCGTCGGTTCCTTCCAATTCAGACAGTTCTTCTTCACAAGACACTTGTTGTGAGTGGCCTTTGTCCTGTTTGCTCGTTTGGCTTGGAGACTTTTGAGCACAGTTTCTTTCACTGTCGGGCTCATCCTTTGTGGTCCCTTGCTGGTCTTGCAGAGGTTCGTGCCCAATTGGAGGTGCTTTCTTCAGAGGAGGCCTGACAATCTCTCTTCTTTTCTCTTCGCCTGTCTAAAGTTCAGATTTCGGATGTTGTTTTCCTTTGTTGGCGAGTTTGGAAGGGTCGTTGCTGGGCGGTCCATGGGGGTATTCAATACCTCCCTTCTGCGCTCCTCCGGCAATTCCGGCTACAAGTTGATGAGTGGCGCGCAGCTACCACTTCGCCAGCAAGCACTCCCAGTATCTCCTCTTTTTCTGCTCCATGGTCCTCGTCACTTCTCGGACAAGGCCTAGCTGGGGTGCTCATCTCCCCTCTGCAGGCTCCTACCGCTACGTGCCTAGTCCGTTTTGATGGAGCTATCAACCAAACCCGTGGTGGAAGTGTTGGTTTTGTCGGTTTTGGTCAAACTAGGGAACTTATGTTTGCTTTTGGTAAATTTTACAGAGGTATGTCCGACCCTTTCATTATGGAGATTTTAGCACTCCACGATGCAATGCACTGGTGTCTAACCCGAGGTTTTTTGTCTGTTACTTTCTTTGGCAACTCGCAACTGGTTTTTCGGCGGGTGGTGACGGGTGATCGTTGCAATGCGTTGGGAGGAGCTATTTTGGAGGATATCTTCCGGTTGGTGCAGTCGTTTCGATACTGTTCGTGTTCCTACGCTCCGCGTAGCTTTAACAGGGCCACCCATTTTGTGGCAAAACAAGTGCTTTCATTGGAAGCTCGACTGCTGGTCGACTTTCGCACGACGTTACTTTCTGTTCTCTGACTATTTGACTTTGTGGTCTCTATCTGACTATGTTAAAAAAAAAAACAATACGTTGGCAGAAAATATAACCAACTATATTTGGCCACAAATATTTATTATTATTTTAGGATTAATATTTTCGTATGGCCTGAACTTTGACCAAAATAAACATCCTAGCCAATCTTTTTGATCTATAACATCCTGGCCCGAACTATACACCAAAATAAACAATTTGGCCAGATCCGACTTTTGACCGTTAACTTGGACGGTCAAATGCGTTGACCGTTAGTCAACGCGCCATGTCACCGCCAAGTCAACATAAAATATTTAAAATAATTCACAATTTCCACACATTCTCTAATTTTAAATTATTATAAATTAAAAAAAATTATCTAATACCTTAGTTAAACCAAAAATAAAAAACAAAAAATTAAATATGTATAAGATCTTCTCTCCCCAAAATGGCTGCCCGTCGATCTATTCCTGCTCCCCATCGTCCTCCTCCTCACCATCTCCGTCAATCCCCCTCAAACACGATCCTCCAATTACTTCCCCACAATCCAACCCATCTAATTGAAATCTCTCTCTCTCCACTCTCTGCTTCATCTTATTCTTCCCCAAAAATCTCCAATATTCTCAAACTCCTGATCAATTCTAAACCCTAGGTCTTTCGAGCCATCTCCATCCTCCCGCTCTGTGCTTAACCCTCATCGCCATTTCTCCCCAAACCCGTCGGGAAGTCCAACCTCCTGTCGCTCTACGCGCACAACGAGTTCAACCTCCACTCCAAGGCCACCATCGGCGTGGAGTTCCAGACCTAGAGCATGGAAATCGACGGCAAGGAGGTCAAGGCCCAGACTTGGGACACCACCGGATAGGAGAGGTTTCGCCCCGTCACCTATGATTACTACAGGCGCGCCATCGACGCCCTCGTCGTCTATGACATCAGCCGCAAGACCACCTTCGACAACGTTAGACGATGGCTGGATTAGCTCAAAAGTAAGTATGCCCAGCTGTGCGCATTTCCATTTATACTCTATCTTTTGCATTCGTCGATTGAAATTGATTGTGGTTGGGAGGTTGGAAGTAGATCTAAAGCTTTGAACTGAAATTGAGGAGCTAATCGAATCTTTCCATTCTGTGGAGTAGTGTTTTTTTTTTTATAATATCGCTTCAGATGGGGGAATTAGAATTCTGGGCGTGGAGCTAGCTAACATTTGTCTGGATGTGTTTGCTTATACTTTGTGGTTTCTTCTTTGTTACTGTATTGATGAAACTTTGTCGAGCGATGAGTTCGGTGGTATGAGATACGAGGAAGAAGAAAGGCGGAGTGGTAGAGAAAGAGGCAGGGGAGCACCGATGGAAAAGACGGGTTTATTTTTATTTTATTTTTGTTTCCCCCAATTTCAGTCATAATACATATATTGGGAATATGTAAAAACTGTGAATATTTTAAATATTTTATTCTGACTTGGCAGTGACATGGCGCGTTGACCGTTAGTCAACGCATTTGACCGTCCAAGTTAACGGTCAAACATCGGGTTTGGCCAAATTGTTTATTTTGGTGTATAGTTCGGCCCAGGATGTTATAGATCGAAAAGATTGGCCATGATGTTTATTTTGGTCAAAGTTCAGGCCATACGAAAATATTAGCCCATTATTTTATTATCAATATTTTTAGTTCGGTAAACTTTGTTTTGGTCATAAAAATTCTTTTCATATAAGTGACCGTTTTAATATGTTTATGTGACCAAAACTACTAGTTATTTTAAAAAAGAATCAAGGTTGATAAACAAATAGTTTTGGTTAGAAAAAGAATTGGAAATTTTGCTACTAATTTTTTTGGTCGCATAAATTTAAATCCGGTTATGAAACCTCTTTTTTTAGTTAGTAACCAATTCATCAAACTATTTATCACCAAAATATAATTGGTGATCAATAATAATTTGTCGCCGACAAAAAAAAAATAGTTACATGAAAATGGTCACAAAAGACTATATTTGTTGTAGTGTCTTTATAGTTGGTTTCTTTTACTAGATATGATATGTTGTCTACATATCTTTAATTTTGTGTGTGGTTTCGGGATGAGCTCAGGGGATCTTTTCTTAGGTTTGCTTTCTTGCTTCAAGGTTTATGTGCTTCCTCCTCCTTGCCTTACCTGGCGTGCATGGTGATTCGTTGGAGCATGGGTCATCCTATGAGGACCTTGAACTCTCTTCCTTGTAGAATGAGAGCAAGGTATTCGTTCGTCTTTGGATGTTTGCCTCAAGTTTGCTGCTTGGGTTGTGAGTTGAGAACAATATTTATAAAAATGCACAATTGAAAAAAAAGAGAGGTCTTTTGTTGGTAGCTTTGAGGTTCTTGTCTAATCACTTGCTTAACGGTTTTCCGGTTAACCAACAAAATAACCGAGAATCGACTATACAGTTACGGTTAACCGACTAATATAAATGGTGCGGTTAACGGTAAGCACAAAGTACTTGATGGTTAATCGAGAACCGCTAAACGGTTCCGATTCTAACCAAACCGAACCAATTGTCAACCCTAGTTTTCTCTGTTTTCATGTTCTCAAACTTGGTTCCTTTCTTTGATTTTTGGGTTCTTGGTTTTGGAACGAAGGAAAAGGGAGAAGTCGGCGGCGAGGGTTGGTGCGCCACTAGTGATTGAAGTGTTAAAGCCCATGGTCGTTGGCCCATGCACGTACGGGTCGGGGAGCCCATGCAGCGTACGTGTACCGGGCAGATGGGAGATTAGTGTTTCTTTTCCCTTTCTTCCTTGAGTTGTGCCGTATGTGGCCATATATATATATATATATATATATATAAATGATTAGTCCTGAACACTCAGGGATACCACGTAAATCTGTTTGTCTCTTTGTTATTTGATTTCATTCAATATGTCTAACATGGTATCAGAGCTATCGTCCTGCGATTCTGATCACCTATGTGTTCGTCTTGATCCGAAGAACTATGTTGTCTGGGAATTCTAGTTTAGGGTTTTTATTGAAGGCAAGGGTCTCTTACCGATCCTTGATGGAAAGTTGAAGAAGCCAGTGGTGCCGCCTGCTTCCGCGCAGGAACTGGAGCGCTATACGATGAACAATGCACGGGTAAAGACTTGGATCTTAGGATATGTTGATCCCTATATCATTTTGGGATTGCGGTTGTTCTCAACTGCATATGAGATGTGGTCGCATCTTGCTGCGACCTACACGACCAAGAACTCTGCTCGACAGTTTGAAATCGAGCATGAGTTGTCTCTCTTGAAGTAAGGAGAAAAGGATGTTGCAACCTACTATAAGGATTATGTTTAACTATGGACAGAAGAGGATCTCCTCTTGGCCTCGCTTCGTTCAGCCCATATCTCGGAGGAAGTACGCGCTAAGCGCAATCACTCTCGGCTGTTGCGATTTCTGATGAAGCTCAAACCCAAGTTTGAGTCGGTGCGTTCTACACTTCTCAATCAGGAAAACTTGAAGCTTGATGGGGTCTTGGGTCGGCTACTTCAAGAGGAGACCCGACTGCAAACATAGGAGAAGCTCCATGACCATCCCGGGGCTGGCGAAGCCGTTTTTTCTGCTACTGGGGATTCTGATCCCTCAGCCTATGCGGCTCAACGCGCGCAGTTTCAACGTCGCGATCCCGCCTCCGAGCTTACCTGTATCTTTTGTGATGAACAAGGGCATATACATAAGTTGTGTCGCAAGAGGAACTTTTGCGTTTATTGTAAACGCTGCGGCCATATCATAAGTGACTGCCACGCTCTCAAGAACCGCACCCAGTATGTTGAAGGTCACACTCCCAGCACTGGCCATTCTGATACAGTGGAGAAGATGATCCATTCAGCCTTGCAAAAGTCCATTCCTGCTGCTATCACCTCCGCATTCACAGCCCTCAAGATGTCAGGTACGACTAAACCTTTGTTGCTCGACTCGGCATGCTTCAATCACATGACTATTGATTCTACTTTACTTTGCTATGTTAAGCCCATGAAAAGTCTGCGTCTTCAGGTCGCTAATGGTTCTCATATCCCCGTTGATGATCTTGGTTACTTGGATAGCTCACAGCTTAATTTGTCTAATATTTTACATGTCCCGCAGCTGAGCCCCAACCTGGCTTCCGTTGGACAACTTACTGATGAAAATTTTCTGTCTTGTTCGCACCGTCTGGATGTTTTGTGCAGGATCTGACGACGGGGAGGTTGATCGGAAGGGGGAGTAAGCAAGGACGTACCTTTACACTGCAGGAGTTGTTGAGTCGGTCACCTGTGTCTGTCCCTCAGTCTTCTCGTATTCAGGTGTCTAGTGCGTCTCAGAGTCGGCCTGTATTACCTGTTCTTTTTTCAAATGAGTCGAGTAATCAGTGGAGTTTGTGCACACGGATCTCTGGGGGACAACGCCTGCTACTTCCCGCAATGGCTACAAATACTTCGCCTTATTCATTGATCATGCGACGCGCTAAACCAGGGTTTACTTCTTCCACCTGAAGTCCGAAGTGTATGATGTAGTTATTGAGTTTCTAACGATGATCCGCAAACAATTTGGGAGAAATGTCAAGATGCTGCGCTCCGACCCTGGCGGAGAATTTAGTTCTCACCCGCTGCTCGCCTATTACAAATCTCAAGGTATCTTTGCCAGAAGTCATTTCCGAGTGTCTCGCAGCAAATTGGTGTTGTTGAACAGAAGAATCGCCATGTAGTGGAGTTAACTCGAGCTCTTTTACAAGCTTCATTTGTTCCCGCTCGGTTTTTGCCCAAGGCGGTTGCTACTGCAGTTCGACTGATCAATTACCAAGCAACTCATGTTCTTTAGAAAAAAGTCCCTATTTTGCTCTCTATGCTACTCATCCTCCTTATTCGCGTCTTCGGGTGTCTTTGTTTTGTCATTCTTCCTCGTCGTGAAAGAAATAAGCTCACCTTTAAGACCTCTTGTTGTGCTTTTCTTGGTTATAGTAACATTCACAAGGGCTATTTATGTTTTGATCCTACTCTTGGTAGGATTAGTATTGCCTGTCACGTCGTTTTCTTTGAAAATGTTATGTTCTATGAGTCGTCGTCTCCCTCTAGTGTGTCCCCTTTGTTTTCCTCGACTCAACTTCCCTCCTTTGATAATGAAGATGCGCCAGATGAAGATCCCCCCCCCCCCCCCCCCGCGAGATGCCTCCCACCTTGCCTGGTTCGTCTGGTTCAAGTTCCAACTCCGCCTCCTCTTCGTCTGCCTCGACCTCCAGCTTTAGCGAGGACTCACCCAGTCCCGTCGTTCCTCTTTGCAAGTCCACTCGAGTGAATTAAGGCCACCTTCCTACCCGTTATGGTGAGTTTTATGCTCACGGTATTGGTCTTATAACTATTCCCACTCGCTACTCGCAAGCTAAGGATGATCCTCGTTGGACCCGTGCTATTGGCGAGGAGTTTCAAGCACTTGATCAGAATCACACATGGACTATAGTTGATCGGCCCCCACCTCTCATTCCCGTAGTGGGTTGTCGATGGTTGTACAATGTCAAGTATCATCCTGATGGTAGTCTGGAATGGTTCAATGCACGTGTGGTTGCTCATGGTTTTAATCAGGAGTACGGGGTTGATTTTGATGAGACGTTTGCTCCCGTTGCTAAGATGCCCATTGTGCGAACTCTTCTTGCTGTGGCAGTTGTGCGACATTGGCCCTTGTTCTAGTTTGATATCAAGAATGAATTCCTTCATGGAGACTTGAAGGAGGATGTTTATATGGAGATCCCACCTGGTTACCCTCATGGTAAGCCTAGTCAGGTGTGCCTGCTTCATCGGTCTCTCTATGGACTTAAGCAGGCTCCCAGTGCATGGTTTGAGAAGTTTCAGCAAACGATCTTGGGGTTTGGGTTCCAACAGAGTAAGAATGATCCGTCCCTGTTCGTTCAGTCTACCGCTCGAGGCCGTGTTGTTCTATTGCTCTATGTTGATGACATGATCGTTACCGGTGACGACTTAGATGGCATTACTCAGTTGAAAGCTAACTTGCGGGCGAATTTCAACCTCAAGGAGCTTGGTCATCTTTCCTACTTCTTGGGAATTGAGGTACATCAGTTTGATCAGGGTATTCTTCTGTCTCAGCATAAGTATATTAATGA